GTGAAGATTGACAGCCTTGGAGACCCTGTGGGCAGTTCCACTCTGTCCTCTAGGGGCGCTGTGGGTCAAAATGGACTCCAGGCAGTAGGTGTGGTTTGGGCTTTGCTTCCGTGAAGATTGACAGCCTTGGAGACCCTGTGGGCAGTTCCACTCCATCCTCTAGGGGCGCTGTGGGTCAGAATCAACCAGACAGCAGTCAGCAACAGGGTTAGTATTTGGCTTTGTTTTGTACCAGATCGTGATAAGCAAACATTAAACGCACATGTAAATGCCACCTTCCCCTTCACCCCAACACCCCATGACGTCTGCCGACACCCTTCACCCCAACACCCCAACGACAGCAAAAACACATCATTCACACACCCCCTGCTGTTCTGTGCCACCCTGCAAGTCTATCCATGTTCTCACAGTCCAAGCGCCAACCTGGAAAGACGAGGCCGGTGGCTGCGTTACAGTAAAAAGAGGGAAGGGGCCTTACGTCAGAGACGGATTACAATACGGCTCTTCCAGTCCAACAGAACTATAAAAGGAAGAGACAGACAGACAGAGAAGGCACGAGCAGATATGGACACCGGCAGAGGAGGGATTATCGCTGCCTGGCGTTGCAGGACCTCCCGCAGAATGGGGGTGACGCGCAGGGCACCCCGTCATCTGGGTCCTAGCTCAGGTGTCACCCCACTGCACTGCAGATCAAAGCACCCGGTGACACAGCTAAGTAGGACGGTTCCTGTAACCCATCACGGCTCACACCCAACGGCTGTGAAAACAGGACTCCCCTTTGCTTAAAACCACCCAACCTGCTGGTGGAAACCCAGTGTGACCCAGACAGCTAGCCCCTCCCACATGGTAATTCAAGCAGCACACAGACCCCGTTTTCCAGAAAGGGCCCAGGATTCATTTTGAACATCCCATCTTTGGGGCCGCTCTTACAAAGACACCCGCCCGTCCACACGTTGTGCTTTTACTGTTTGAACGAATAAGTTCTATTTGGAGAGAGAGACGAGGCAGTTCCTCCGAGGCTGGTACCGTGTTACCCCAGACGCGCACGTCTGGAGCAGATTTCGGGCAGCCACAGCCGTGCTCCCAGCCTTTCTGACCGGCGTAGCAGTCTCCCCTCAGCCTGGTCCCAGCTTTGGGGCGTTGAACTGCCCCGTTCAGACAGCCTCACTCCTGCAACTTGCTGACAACACCCTCAAAAATGACAAGAGGCCTCATGTTCGCATCCCCCTGGCTGTCAGGTGATGGCCCGGAAAATGCACGCACAAGGATGCTTCCACCACGACCTCGTCATCCCGGACCTTAGAGGGGAGTGGAGCCGCCAGGGCCAGAAAACCCAGCCCTGCTCTGCGGAGCACCCACACTTGACCCCACAGCCACCTTCTCAGAAGCCCCGCGGGCCCCCACCCGGCCCAGACGCACGCACCCACTCACCTCAGCGTGAAGTGGTCCTCGGTGGCGTTTCTGGAGACGGACACAGGGAAGGTGAGCACCTCGCCCCGCCGGGCGTTCCGGGGTGGGAAGTGCACGGCCACCTTGTCGTCCAGGCGCAGCTCTTGCAGGGAGGGGGGGCCCTGGGTCTGCGAGAGGAACACGCTCCCGATTCTCTGCAGGGGTGGCACCAACTCCTCCGCGTCACCAGGGCCCAGCCGCGCGCCACGGCCGGTCCTCGGGGCGCCCTGGGCACAGCCCCCGCGCTCGGCCCCCGGCTGGACGGCGTAGTACAGCTCCACCGGGCTCCCCCCGGGCCGCTCGGCCTTCTTCCTCCCGGCCACCACGGTGGGGGCGCCGAACCAGCCGGGCAACAGCTCCAGCTTGGCCACGCACAGCCCCAGCGGGCCTCGCAGCTGGCAGCTGCCCCTCACCTCCCGGGTCTCGCGGAAAGCAAACACGCGCAGGCAGGGCAGCGGCTCCAAGGCCCCATGGTCGTCCCAGTCCCGGCCCACGATGTAGAACAGAACCTGCACCTGCGGCCGGCTCAGGTAGACCCTGTCCCGCAGGATGTAGGCTTTCAGCTTCCAGTTGAGGGAGAACTTGCTGGCGAACCCCAAGGGGTGGGCAGGCAGCAGGAGGTCCTGCGGCACGACCTGCTGGACGGAGAAGGGCCCGTAGCTGGCGCTGAGCACGGGCAGCCTCGCGGACTTGTAGACGAGGAAGGACTCCACCCTGGACTGCAGACTCGAGTTTCTCATGATGTCCTGGTTGGCCTCCTTGAGGAAGAAGGCCACGTCGGCATCGCTGATGCGGTAGGTCACTGGCAGGTAGGTGGGCAGCACCGAGAACCTCTGCACGCCCTCCAGGATCCCGCGGGTCTCAGCGGCTGCAGGGGGAGAGTGGAGGGCGGGCATTAGAGTCATGGCAGTGGGCATGCGGCACAGGCCACGCGGACGCCGACCTTCAGGCCAGTGACACTACTCATTAACAAACAAGACACTTACTGGAATGAACTCACTCGATATTAGTTACACTGGTTTTAAAATCAATTAAAGCTGACGCGGCGTGACAGATAAGCACTTGGCTACTGACCAAAGAGTTGGCAGTTCAAACTCACCCAGGGGCTCTGAGGAAGAGGGAACTGGTGATGGGCTCCTGGAAAGATTACAGCCTAGAAAGTTCCACAGGACCCTCGTCCATGGGGTCACCATGAGTCAGAATCAAGCCGACACCCACACCGCAACAACGAAGTATGTCGGAACGCAGGAGGACATGCCACGCAGAAAAGGTAGGCATACAAACACACAAAAAGCAAAGTGATGCTCTGTCAGCGTGTCACTGTGCCGTGGCTTGATGCTGGAAGCCATGTCACCAGTATTTCAGATACACCGGGTCACCCATGGTCGACAGGTCTCAGCACAGCTTCCAGACTAACACAGACTAGGAATAAAGGCCTGGAGATCTGCTTCCACAGAACAGCTGATGAGAATATCATTGCATCATCGCCAACTTCCACTTGCTTACCTGACTGTAGCGTCAGGAAGGACCCCGAGCTAGAGAAGCCTTACGTGTGTGGAAAGTAGAGGACCAGCAAAAACAAGGGGACCGTCCACAAGACGGATGATACAATGGGCGCGACAATGGACTGAGACGTGCCAGTGCTCACAGTGGCGATGCGGAACGGGGCAGCGGTCTGTTCTGTTACACGTGAGGGTGCCACACATCAGAGCCAACTGGATGGCAACCACCACCACCACCACCACCAAGACAAAGTGTCAGCCACCCGGAGGTGGCGAGAAGACACTCAGAAGATGGTGCTGAGAGAAGACCTCCAGAAACACCACCCCCACTACCAAGGGTCACCCCCTGGAGATGGTGGGAAGGGGCTCGGAAGATCGTGCTGGGAGGACACCTTCACCACCAACACCTCAAAGTTGTCACCTCCTGGAGATGGAGGGAAGGGGCTCGGAAGATACTGCTGGAGGAGACCTCTACAGAAGCTTGAACTGATTCCGTCCGTCACAGTTCTCAAGTGGACAAGCTCATGCACGTCCTGTGAAACTGGATGCTCAGACCTGAGACTCAGGGTGCCTCACTCTGTTACACGCAGATCCTCAAGGAGGCCATGGCCATGCCGCTGTACGGACAGCACTGTTCTTCAGTCACTACCAGACGAGTTCCTCCTTCAGGGGAGGAAAATCCAAAACGTCACATCAGGCTTATTTTTGCTAGCAGAACACAGACACGTGGAGACCGCATACCTCCAAAGGCCCAACACATGGAGACCACGTACCACCAAGGGCCTGACACGTGGAGACCACATGACACCAAGGTCCCAACACATGGATACCGCATACCTCTAAGGGCCCAAAACGTGAAGACCATGTACCTCCAAGGGCCTGACACGTGGAGACTGCATAACTCCAAGGGCCCCTGAGCTGGTTTTAGGAGTGGAAACCTTTGGTCTGTCACCCTGGCTTTGCAGCCTGGGTGCCACGTCTCACGGGACCCTTGTCACTGGGCACCACATGATTACCTTCAGCTCCTCTGCAACAGACGTATGAGTCCTGTTTCAAAGGAGCAGGCGAGTGCCTTTGTGGAAACACACTGCCCACCTGAGCCTGGGCCCCTCCGCAGCTGTCTGTGAGCCACGCAAGGGGCTGAGGAGGAGGAAGGGGCTCAGCTGTGCGGAACAACAGCCGGGACCCTGAGCCAGTCTCGGAACGTCTCTGTTCTCCCGGGCCCCGGCTCTGGGAGGACGAGGCTGACCAGCCCAGGTCTAACCCAGCAGGCTTCTGCTGGCAGCCAGTAACCAGCTGGCACACACTCACCTTCGGCCTTCCTTCCTAAAGCTGCCAACAGCCCCAAAGGGAGGAACCCTTCCATCCAGCGGCATGAACGGGAGCTCTGGTGGCGCAGTGCCTAAGGCATCTGACTGCTAACCAGAAGGCTGGCGGTTCAAACCCACCAGCCACTCCTGGGAAGGAAGGTTAGGCAATCCACTTCCATAGTGATACCACCTCGGAAACCTAAGGAGGGGTCGCTATGAGTCGGATCTGACTCGAAAGCACATAACAATAACAACAGCGGCATGACCAAGCCAAGGGGAGCTCTGGAGCAGTGAAGGCAGTTGGCTTGCAAGGTTGGTGACTTGAACCCACCCAGAGGTGCCTTGGAAGAAAGGCATGGTGACCTCCTTCTGAAAAGGTCACCAAAAATCAAACCCAACCCACTGCCCCTGAGTTGATTCCAAGTCATAGCAACCCTCTGTGGGTTTTCAAGACGATAAATCTCTACAGAAGTACATTGCCCCATCTTCCTTCTGTGCAGTGCTGGATGGGTTTGAACTGCCAACCCTCTGGTCAGCAGTCAAATGCCTTAGGCACTGTGCCCCCAGGTCTCCTTCTGAAAGTTCACAGACACTGAAAACCCTATGGACAGTTCTCTCTGACACGCGCAGGTCGCTGTGAGGCGGAGTTGACCCGGCAGCACTGGTCCCCTGGTCTAGCTGCGCCTGCGCTTAGTGATCAGAGCTGGTGTTGGACAAGATCTTGAAGCTGCTCGTCTGTGAGCAGTCGCAGGACACAAACAGTAATCTCACGTGGATCGAGCCAACGAACAGAGCGCTTTTCACAAAATCAAACTACCCGAGGTGTAAGAAGAAACGTCATTACTGGAAATGATGGTGTTTTTTAAACTTTTTGTAGTGAGTGATCACTCCTGATACTTGGTGTTTTCCACAAACGTGTATTTCCCAGGTGAGTTTTAGTTAAAGTGCAGATGTTTCCTCAGTGATGTCTGAGCTGTACGGCGCCGACGCTTCCCCCCTCCCCAGCAGCACCGTACAGTGATTTCCCTGGAGCCTGTCATTGGCTCCCAACCTGGCTGACATGTCCCTTCCCTGTCCTTCCACCGCATCCCGTACGCCCCGTCACAGGACCTATAGGCTGTGATGCCTGGACATCGTGCTCGGCAGAGCAGAGGGTCAGCAAAAACGAGGAGGGCCTTCAACAAGACGACAGACGCGGTGGCGGCAAGGAGGGAACAAGCCGGACAGCGCTTGTGAGGACGGCAGAACCAGGCAGTGCTTCATGCTGCTGTTCCCGGGGTGGCGACGAGGCGGAGCCCACTCCACGGCCCGCAACAGCGATTCCTGAGACGCTCTGGGTGGCAGTAAGTGAGACACCGGGTCGGTCTTTCTCCCTGCCGTGCCCTGGAGAGCGCCGCGCAGACAAGGGGTGCTCAAGAAACATCTGACGAACGCGTGAAGGCAGGGAGTCCTCGATGCTGTGGGCAGGGATCACAGTCTCGCGTTGGGACTGTCTGTGGACTGGCCTCTCACTGACATTATGCACAGCAGACTCCTCCATCCTCGGATCCAAGAACCCAAGACCAAAGCAGCTGCTGTCAACACAACTCTGACTCACGGTGACCCCACAGGCCTCAGAGAGCTGTGTTCCACGGGGTTCCACTGAGGATTTTTCAGCAGTGGGCCACCCGGCCTTTCTTCAGAGGCAGCTATGGGTGGACTCCAACCTCCATCCTCCAGTGAGAATCTGAGAGTGGTGACGGTTTACGCCACCCAGGGGCCCCTTGTTGGCTCGCAGCAGTAGAGGTGTTCCCAAGTGAGGCAGCCACCATGTGGTCCCGGCCTGCCATCACACTTGTCATTGTTATGAACACCAGGGTGTTTGCATCAGGCTGACCACCATTTTATTTCCAGGACATTATCCTCAGGGTAGGAGCACTAGTGGTGGAGTGGTTAAAGCACTCAGATGCTACCCAAAAGTCAGCAAATCAAACTCATCAGCCATTCCATAGGACACAGATCTGGCAGTCTGCTTTGGTAAAGGTTGACACCCTTGGAAACCTGTGGGGCAGTTCCACTCTGTCCTCTAGGGGCGCTGTGGGTCAGAATGGACTCCAGGCAGTGGGTGTGGTTTGGGCTTTGCTTCCGTGAAGATTGACAGCCTTGGAGACCCTGTGGGCAGTTCCACTCTGTCCTCTAGGGGCGCTGTGGGTCAGAATCCACTCGATGACAATGGGTTTGGTGTGGGTCCTTAAGGTTCTCAAAGTTAGGAAACAAAAAGACAGGGCCCCGGCCACATTTGAATTTCAGATAAACCACAAATAGAGTTTAGTCTAAGCACAGCCCGAACCATATTTGTGTTTCTTTGACATCTGGCTGTGACCGCTGTATGCGTCTGAGTGTCAGGCTGTGTGTCTGGTGTGAGTCCCCAGTCCTGGTGTGTCCAGGGACCCCACGGGCTATAGCGCTCAGGCATCAGCTCACTGTCAGCACAGGTGTGGATTTTCACCTATTCCCGCATTTCCTTAGTGGGTGCTGTTGGATCCACTCCAGGGAAGATTAGAGCCCTGTGTTCCAATGCCTGTCTTCTGCAGATTTCTTTGCAGTATTATTTGAGGGGAAAAAAGTCTTTTCAAGAACTTAAAATTAATATAGAACTTGTGCACAGTCACCAAGGTGCTTGAAGATGGGAACATGCCACTTTCTTTACAATAAGTGTTTAAGCCACAGTCCCTACATCAAATGGAGCTGTGTATCCTTAATGGGTTTTTCACTGGGTTCCCTGTGGGCAGCTGTCATCTGACCCCGGCTCATTCTTCTGAACAACGTGTGCTCTTGGACTGTAATCACCACCCCATGCAGGTTAGATGGACCATAATGAGTTTTACTTTTTGGTTCATTTTGTGTGCGGTGAAACATAACTGGCATTATTCTTGAAGTTTGTTTGAAAAAAATTTTTAAAGGCAACCCCAGCTTTGGGTCACCTTGGAGCATTTTTCTGTCATAAACATGCAGGTTGCATCCCAGCAAAAAGACGAATGGCCATTTGTGGTGTACAGCTTTGAAATGGCCTCCCA